AAGTAATTTATACTCAATTCGAATTACAACATAATTTAATATTAAATAATTTAAATTTATAAAAAATTTGGTTAAAATATTAATGTTCTAATTTTTTTATATTTTTTAACTCTTGAGTAAAATAAATATAATTTTTTTTGAATAATTAGGATAATTATAATATTTTTTTTTGACAAAAACGCTCTCATTAACTACTTGAACAGGCACAATAAAGTAATTATATGATTGAAAAAAATATAAAATCTATTTAATGCTTTATATTTTAAATTAAATAAAATTTTTAAAAATGTCATATATCATAATTCCAACATAAGATATCTTATTCCCCTGATTTTATTTATAGCGCGAAGAGAAAATATTAAGTTTTGTTCTTTTTATAGAAAACTTTATTATTTTTTATGTTTATATTTATTTTTCTATCCTTATTAAATGTTAAAAATATATTAAAAATAATTTTTTTGTCTTCACTCTTTATTAAGGGATAGAGAAATTTAAAATTAAATTAATAAAGTTTAAATTTTTTTTAAATTTTAATAAAATATGTTGCATAATTTATAAATAGAATGAGAAGGAATACACTCTAATACTCCTTATAATTCAAACTACAAGCATTTTCTCTCAATCAATATTATTTCAAAATATAAGTAGCATAATACATGTAAATTTTTTTTTTCATTTTACTCATTATATTTATTACCTTAAATATTTGTGTAAATATATATTTCACTCGTTATTAAGTGTATTGATAATTGAAAATAAAGTAAAAAAGATATTTTATTTATTTAAAAATATAAATATTTTTAATCGAATCTCACCTCCAATAAAGTAGTTACCTATTTTTAAATTAAACATATCTTTTTAAATTTATCCCTATTAAATACCCCATAATAAATATAAAGTTACTATTAATAGGGATACTTTTTTAAAAAATAATGATTATACTTTAAAAAAATAAAAATACTTTATATTTTTAAATATCTAATTTTTAAAAAAAATTTTATTTTTTAAATGAAAAGAATGTATATTTTTATGATAATAAAAACTTCATCAGCATGTGATTTTTTTAAAAAAATTGTTTATAGTTTTTTTAAATATATAATACAGACAAATGGGATACGTATTCTAGATGCACACTGCCTTGTAAAGGAGAAAAGTTAATGCGGAAGCTGAACAACGAACACGCCTTTTGCTTAGTTCCCTTCAAAAAAAAAATATTTTAAAAAAGAACGAAGGAGGCGACGAAGCTTGAAGGAGTCGTAAGCGCGTGGAGGACACGGGGGAGGGGAAAGGACGTCTGAGAAAAGGAGAGGTGGGGTGCGGGGTCAGATGGGGCGGCTCAAAATCCCCGTGGTGGGCTTTTTGTATTTCCTATTTTGCCCCTCCCACTTTCCACATGGACGGTTTCTCTTTCTCCAGCGTAGAAGCCACGCCCCACACTCCCCCCACACCCCATTTGCCCCCAATTTGCACATCAATCAATTCCCAGTTCCAGACTCCCCCACTTGCGTTCATTTATTCACGGCACCTCCATATTAAAAAAAAAAAAACATTATTTTCTCCTTAAATTACTCCCTTTTAATTCAAAATCACATTAATTCCCTCACTCTCTCTTTTAATACAACTACATTTATATTCAATATTTTAGTTGAGGTTCAAATATTTTTTCCATGAAAAAAAATTAGGACCAGGACCATAACTTGCTTCCAGTTCAAAAAATATTTATAAATTATTCACCAATAATATTCGTATATTGACAATAAAATTTAAATTCATAATTTTATTAGTTAAACTCTTTTCAGCTAGACTAACCAGTTGAGGTTCAGATGTTATTAGGTTCAATTTGATATAGCCTTCCTGAAAATTATTTTTGCTTCCATGCAAAATTGAATTCAAGATCTTGAGCAATTATCCTGTGATCATATTAGATTTTCCTATGATCATCTTGGGTTAGTTATGTATTTTGAAAAATATTTAAGTGATAGATTTCATACGTCATGTCATTTATAATCTATTCAATTAAAATATTAATAAAATTTTATATAATATTTTTAATTAATTTTATTTTTATAATAAAATGCAATGATTTCTTGCCTCTTCCCTCTCTACTATCATTAATATAAAAATTAATTTATATTCAATAACATCTAAATATTATATTTTTATTTCACAGACTACAAATGAACTTAGTAAGATACAGTATTTAAACTATGTCAATATGCTGTGTATAAATAGTTGTTAAAAAAATTGACTAAATTTTAAATTAGTTAATGAAGATATTTTAAAAGTACAGAAAATAAATATAACACACACACACACACATATATATATATAAATGGAGATGTGTGCCAAACCATAAGCCATTCAACCATCCCTGCACGGGACAATGCTAGTTTAAAAAAATCCCATGCAACACAAGCATGCAACTTCTAATTAAAAACAATAAACGAACATTTTAAATGTCAGTGGCATGATAATATCACACTGGGAGAGGATAAAGAGATTTTTTTTTAAAAAAAAAAATAGTAGCAGGTGCATGATGACCCACACGAAAAAATAATAGTAGTAATTACTAAAAATGAGACCTATTAGCTCATTATATAAAGTTTAGGGTAAATCATGCTACTCATTTCTTACGAATAATATAGTATGCTGTATTTGTTGTAAATTCTATATCCACGTTGATGAAATTTGTGCAATTCCACTATATCAACTATTTTATTTTGAAAATGAAAACGAAGTGACTCAAGTTTTGAAACTAATTAATATAAAATAATGTAATGTTGTCTTACAACAACGAAAATCACTTTTAACAACATTCATGGCTTCCGCTGAATATAACCGCGGCAATTGTGTCTCTGTGTAATTGATATTTGAGACATGAGCTCGTTTATATGTCAATTTTTTATTATTCTAATAAAAAATTGAGAAATTTATTATGGGCAGTCTTTCTATTTATTAAATTAGGAATTAGGTAATACTGGTAATAATATCTACCTCCTCCAGGGACGCCCGACACTGTTATTAAAAATGTAACGTTCTTGATGTTAATCTTCAACCTCATGCCTTTGTCTCTGACCCTACGCCCAAGATATTGAGCACGAAAAAAAAAAGTTATTTTTAAAAGTGGCAGCATAAGAAAATAGTAATAGAATATTAATGATTTTTAAAATTTTATCGATTTACTTGCTAGAAAGGTGGCCTATTTTTTCCCTAATTTTCTTGTCCATTCCACCACCGATAAGCATCTACTAAGTTTTTTAAATATTTAATCAAAATAAGTGTGATTTTTAAAAATTGTGACATTAAATTAAGAGAAGAATAATCTCCCCATGATTAAATTATTAATTAGCTGAAAAAAAAATAAATAACTACCTATAATGCCTTCTTTGGGTGGGAACTACCCAGGCTATGAAAGATCCCAAATCATTTTTTTTTTTTTTGGCCTGACAAATCATTCTAATAACAACTAGGCCAAAAAAACGGATGTTTGTTTACAATTAACAGTAGCTCTAATAGTCTTCAGCATGAGAAACACAATTTAAAATTAAAATTAATTCTTATTATTTGGATAAAAACAAGTCACTCAAAATTATACCATACTTTAGAGCTAGTTTCTCATTTTCAACTTTGATTATTTAGCAACATAATTTTATTATTATGAAGTACTTCATCCGTTAAAAAATATAAAAAATATTTTTAAATGTTGAATATTTAAAAATATAAAATGTTTTTAGTTTTTTAATTTGTAATTAATGATTTTTTAAAAAATGTCCTATTAAATAAAGGTTAATATAAAAAATAATGTTAATTTAAATATATTTAACTAATTTATTAAAACATATAATTCAATTAAAAATTAAAGAATATTGAATTTCTAAGGGACGACTTTACCACTCTCGCAGTCGCTCAACAAACTGTGCCAAGAAATTCTTAACATATTTTAATTTTTAATAGAAAATTACTATATTTTTCGAGCGCTTCGCCAATCATATATTAACAAAATGGGTATCACACGTAGTTAGAAACGCTGATTTGGTTACAACTTGGATGTGATAAGACCGCGATTATAAAAACAAAGCATCAAAGATAAATATTCACTTAACTAATCAATTTTCGCTGATTTCAAAGTTTTTTAGTATTTTTTTTTAGAGACGTGTTATGATATTTAATCAGTTTCATTTTAATATAATTTTATCGTTTTAAGTTTTTATAATTTTTTAAGTGTTTTCAGTTTTGTAGTTTTAAAAAAATTGAATGACTTTTATTTTTTAAATTTTATAGTTTTTATTTTTTTTCAATAATTTTAGTTTGCATAGGATTGAAAATATTAAAAACAATCATATGAATTAAAAGTAAACTGACAAAAAAATTATGAGCATGTTTAAAATTATTTTTATTTTATTATTTTAAAAATAATATTTTATAAAATATGTTTTGAGAATAAAAAAATAAAAAAATATTTTTTTATTTTTTTTAACCTCCATAACTCACAAAACATTCAAAAATTATTTTTTTTTTTTTAAAATAATATTTCATTTTTATTTTTTAAAATAGTTTTAAAAATATTTTATTAAACATATTTTTTATTATTTTGTCATGAATAATAAAAAATTATTCTTAAAATAGGTTGTCATTCTCAAAAATAAAAAATAAAAGCAGATGGAGAAGCAGAAGAGCTCTGGTTAACAAAACGGTGCCGTATCAATCATTACTAAATCAATTTCATGCGCAGAACAAAGAAGGGAAATGATTGGAGGAATAAAAAATAAAAAGGACATGGGAGGAGAGAGAGGGAGAGGGAGAGAGGTTGGGCGACAAGGACGTGAAAAAGAAAAGGAAAAAAGTCTGACAGCATTAAAAAAAAAAACAGTTGGACAAATTGGTCATTACAGCCGCCATAAAGATGTTAAGTTGTTAGATACGCGTCTCTATGAGGCTCATATTCCAGCGCCATTACCCACCTTACAATCCCTTCATATCCCCCCACCAACACCACCGTTCTCTCATCCTCTGGAACTCTCTCTCCCCCCCCCCCCCTCTCCCTCGCTTCTCTAATTTCACGTCCTTGATTCCCTTCGCCGTAGCATTGAATTACTATTATTGTTATGGCTCAGAGAACTGAAAAGGAAGAGACCGATTTCAAGGTGCCTGAAACCATAATCCCCTGCGTCAACAACTGCGGCTTCACCGGCAACCCGGCCACCAACAACATGTGCCAGAAGTGCTTTAACGCCACCACCTCCGCAGCTTCCTCTTCCTCTTCCTCTTCCACGTCCGCAGCCGCCGGAGTTTCGGCGCCTTCTATATTTGCCGACGACAAGTCTTCTAGATCTACCGCGTCTCGCTCTCCCAAGAGATCCTATCCTTCCGATGACTCTGCTCAAACGCCGGATCGGTTGAAGACAGACAAGGGAACGCCGTCTGAAGCGAAGCGGGTTGTGAATCGGTGCTCCGGCTGCCGGAGGAAGGTCGGGTTGACGGGGTTCCGGTGCCGGTGCGGGGAGCTGTTCTGCGCTGAGCATAGGTACTCCGATCGTCACGATTGCAGCTACGACTACAAAGCCGCTGGACGCGAGGCGATCGCAAGGGAGAATCCGGTGGTCAAGGCAGCGAAGATCGTGAAAGTTTGAAAACCAGGAAAGAAAAATTGTCTCGAAGGGATTATTGAACGAACAAGACCAAGATCCGTTTCTAAGCGATCGAGTTTTGGTCCTCCAATCTCTCTTGCTCAGAGATTTTAGAAAATTGTTTGGCAGAAAAAAGTTTGTACGTGTGTGCGACAGGGAAATTGTAACCAAGATGAATTAATTCTGTGATCCAGTTTCCAATCAGACTTTGATTTTTTAAATGTTTTTATATTTTTCTTCTTGGCTTGGAAATGATAGATTATTGTGATTTACGATGTTCTTTGTCTTCGTTCTGGCTTTATTTTTTTCCATTATACTTTTCCCCATAATTTCTGGTGCTGCTGCTCGGAAATTCTGACAACGGAGGGAGGGGCATCTTGGGTAAATTTGACCGGAGTTGGAGGGCATAATTGTCATTCAGCCTGTACTTTGAAAATGGAATTTTCGATGACGGTGATGACAGAAAGTTGGAGGGACCCACAGATAGTGACATGCGACGTTGATATGCCGATATATTCACAATATGGCGAGTTGGGTTGCGAATATATCGTATTGGGGTCGCTTTCCGAAGCCAATGATGTTGCGCCAGGTGTGGGCAGCATGAAGCTAAAAATGACGAAAAATTTGAGAGTGGAAATTCCCGCAAATGGGAAACGTACGTGGATTGGCTTTTGGGTTCTTTCATTTGTTTTTATATGGAATAAATTATTAATTATTAAGTAAGGGAATTAACTAAACAAATAAAACAATAGTTAGTGGGAATCTTGAGGGATATCGTTATCCAACGACTGTAGTTGGGTGAGGTTTCTACAGGATGTCCACGGGACATGGCTTCTCATTTGATAATCTCATTTGATAATAATATAATATTGGTTGAATGCTAATGCGTATTACTAAATGGTTTAGAGACATGGTGAATATTATGAAATCTTGCGAGTATTCGAAACACTGTTAAAATTTGTTTACGAGGTTAGTGTAATTGTCAGGTTTTATATACTTATCTAGTCTTATTTGTAAGGTGAAAAGAAAATATTTATTTTGACTTTATTTATAACATACTTTAATAATTATTATATTTTATTTTTTTAATTTTGTCCCTATTAAATGTAGGGAGTATATTGTTCAATGTTTTGTTAGAATATTATTTATGAATTAACATTAATTAATAAGCCTAATAAATTGATCTTTATGATCTTGTGTGGATCGTGATAGATGAATTACACAAGTGAGCTCAATAAACAGACGCCCAACCCATAACCCAGTAGCCATCAGTTATTTCCTATCTCTTAACTGACTAGTCAGAGATAATAAAATTAATTATTTATTTTATTTAACAAGGCGGTTACTAATCTGATCATTATAAATCGATAAGTCGATAACCGCAAATACATAACTTATTTTCTTCTACTCTATTATCTCTAAACTCTCCAAAAGACTCTGGAGACTTGTGAGTTGTGCGTCTATCTACACTCAAATAATTGAAATTTATCAAATGCTAGTAAGTTTTTCGGATACGCATACATTCTTTACTTGTTCATATGAATTGAGATATACAAAATCCAATAGATAATTTCAAGTTTTGTGTGTGTTTACACTTTGCCTTCAATGTTTGAGAAGATTAAACTTCATAATATTTTCTTTTATTTTTATTATAAGACACTTTTTTTTAATCAAAATTAAGAATATATGGTTCAGTCATTCACTTCATTTAAAAAAATAATAAACTTCAAATTTTATTCCTATTTAAAAGATTTTTTTTAAATTTGTATTACATTCTCTATCATAATTAATAAGTTTAAGTAGGAATGATATTACATTAAGGACTAATAAATCATTTTAGAAGGAGCATATATTTCTTGTGTCTTGTAAAGTTTTATTTTCGTTGCAAAGGGTGGAGTTTTTGCTGACAGTGAAGATTATTTCTCTCAAAATATTGAGAGTAAATGATAAATCTCTTTTAATTAAATTGCTACCTACACTAACATGGGGATTATAATTACTAACTAAATGTTTGATTAATAAATCGTGTAGGAAATTGCTTGATCCATCGTTCTCCTTTAATGTTCTTATATTTTCTAACCTTTTTACATTTTCATATTTCTTAATTTCGTAACAAATAGGAGCTTGATTCTCATTATTACGGCAGGTTTGAATTCTTACCGGAGACAATTGCTTGAGAGGTAGGGGTTAGTTGGTGACTTGGATATGAAAATATTTATGGTTTAGGCTTATAGGCCTGTCTGTAATGATTTCTCCAGCGTGCCATTAACACTTAAAAAAAAATAAATAAAATTGGGGAGCCTCCCCTTGTTACTCGTGTGTTTGGATTGAGGAGAAACGCGCGTTTTCAACTCCAAATTAATTTTTTAAAAAAATATCCAAACAGCAAAAAAACGTAAAAATCGATTAAAAACACAAAACGTTTTTTAATAAGCTCCTCCCACCAGCCAAAAAATTTGTCAAAAATGTTAGGAAAAATTACAAAAAAAAGCTCATGAAAAAATTACAAAAAAAACACATAATTTAATAAAAATAAAATTAAACTCTCTTCTTTTTCCTTTTTTTTTCTTAATAAAATTTAAACTTTGTATATTCAAAAAATTAATATTTGATATTTAAAAATTAAATTATATAGTAATTTATATAGTTAAAAATTAATTTTAATTAAATTATCCAAACAACTTCAATTTTGTTAAAATTAATTTTAGAAAAACAGTATCCAAACAGATTGCGTTATAACATAATCAATTATGATTAAAATCTACTACTTAATCAATTATTTTCATAATCTATTATACCAACTGAAATCCAAACGGACCCTACAACCCCCAAAAAAAATCGAAAAATGAAATTTGATTCAAATTTGAAAATTGTAATTACCATAATCATTTTACTTTTTTTTTTCCGGACTTAGTTCACTCAATTCAATTAAAGTTATCTGTGATAGAAAATATGGGAAGTGGATCTTAAAAATAAAAAAAATAGTAAAATACGCTTATCTCTGTCCTATTTACTAAAATTAAAGAGATCTCTCATCTGTTTTTAAAACCCACAATAAAGTTAATTTTTGATACCATCATGAATATTTCGTTAAATACTTTAATGTACTTAATTTTTTTTATTTGTAATTATTTTAAAAAATTTAAATTATTAATTTGCTCTTAAGATCTAATTGTATAGTCTCTCTCAATTCAAAACATTTTAAGTAATTAAATATGTCAATATTTAAATAATTCAAAGTTTTTACTTCATTGATTTTTTTTTCACTGCATGTTTGAATTTTTTAAAATTACTAAATAAATACTTTTACATAACTAAACAATTTAAAATATAAATTTAAAAATATATATGCATGAATTTTGGATGATTTAAATGTTTTTAGATAATATTTATATTCAAAGAGAAATATTTTGATTCAACATATATGACTTAATAGTTAGCTATCAGTTGGGTGAATAGAAATGTAATCTGGACAATATAAAGGATATTTGTATTTTGTAACTACTTATACCATGAAAGGTTTGCAAGTTGCATTAGGTTTTAAAAATAAAAAGGAGATATTTATAATTAAAATAAAATAGAAGAAATGTCAAAGTATTTTACTCTAAAAAAAATCAAAGAAAATTGCAAGCCAAGTTTTTTTCGTCAACGCCGAGTTTTTTAAATTAAATAAGTATGATAATAATTATTTTATGATTATAAAAAATTATTTAAAATGTTAATCTCTTAAAAAATTGTATGCCTTTTTATTATATCTTCATTAAATATTTTATATAAGTATATTTATTGACAGTTAAAATTTTAATGTATCATTTCAAAAAAAATGAATGAAGTATAAATATAGTAAAAAAATAATTGTAAAAAATATTTTATATTTTATGTTTTTAATTAAATAATTTTTTATAAAAAAAATATCATATATTATCGTAGATGGATCCAAGGGGCTCCAAGGGATAAGTGAGGTGCTAGCCCCAACATTTGCATGTTCCTTCGGTAAAAATTGTATGTCTTTCCTGTGAAAATTTTAAAAATAGACTTCTTTGGCCCTGCATTGAATGTCTTATGTTCAGCTTGACCCCATTTTATTATATACTTATATCAGTTTAATAAGAATTTTTGAATTTGAGTCTAAAAAATACAGCAATATTTAATAGTAGAGTTCTTATTTGAAAAAGTCTCTATCTGTCTCAATACAAATTAGTTGAAGCTATAATTTACTACCAAAAAAAGATCTAGTACCGGCAAGTCTTGTTGAAAGCAGCTTCTCTCGAAATTTAATAGATTTGTTTTGAAAGTTTAATATTGTTTTTTTTAAATGAACATAATGAAAAAATTATAAATAAAAAACTAAAATTGAATGAAATAATTATAAATAAATATTAAAATTAAAATTGTATATTTTTTCATTTATAAGTATATAGTGAAAATTAGATGAATATCCTAGTAAAGTAATAAATTTTATTATATATAACTGCTTTCCTAAAAATAGTACGATTATTGTTGTCTATAAAAAATTAGTCACTTTCCATTTCTTATTTTCTCTTTGTCAACCAAGCACAAAAGAGCATTTTCCATTCCATCAATTTTTCTCTCATTAATCAAATAAATGTAATGTTAATTTGAATGATCAAATTTTATTAGTCACAAAATAGCTCCTGAGGATGTCCTATTGAATAGGATTATATGATTCCAACCTTGAATTTGATAATATTAAATTTTAAAGTTATGTGCATTATTGAGCTCATTTTTAGTACTTATCACACTATCATGCTCATTAATGTGATAAGATTTGGACTATCTAAATCAAAATTTGATGGTTTCTATTTAAAGTATTATTTTATATTTATTAAAATAAAATTTTATATAAATTATAAAAAGTTTTGATAAATTATTTTACTATCAATTTGGTCTAGATTTAATTTGAAGAGTTTGCTTTAAGATTGAAGTTTTAATGCAGATATACTTTACATAGTCCAAAGTTAATATTAAAATTTTTATTTTGATAAATATAATATTAAATATCAAAATATATAAAACTAGAATTTAAAAAAATTACTAGTTAAAAATTTTAGAGTACATTGAGATAATTAATATATAAAAATTATAAAAATTTTAATATTAAATTAAACCTTTTAAATTAAATCTAAATTGGATTGATGAAATTAAATTTTTATAATTTTTATTTTTAATAAATATAAAATAATATTTTAAATCTGAATTATCTACATCAGATGGCTCAAATTTTATCATATTGATAAGCACATCCTAACCCATA